CATTCCGCCCATAGATTTCCCCATATAAATCTGAAAATCTTCTAAAAATTGTTTAAAAGTTTGAAGCTTCACTGAAGCAAAACTGTAAAAGTTAGCTGAAAGCCGAGTTAAACAGTAATAGCAGAAAGATACGGAAACATTTTAAAAGTTGAATGGTGTTTCTAGCTGAAAGTATGCTGAAGTAGTTAAAGGGCAAAGTTTGCTGAAGATTTAGTGGAATTTTTGAAGTTTTACATGCATTTCAATGGGGCCAAAAATCGCAGAAAAAGCTGAATATCGCAAAAAACTACGAACAATATCTTTACCAAAAGATATAGCAGAATTCTCCTGAACAAGCCGAACGTTTTGATACCAAATTTGTTTAAATCAGCTGAAAACTGTTGAACTAGTTAAACGAAGAAAAACCTACGGAATAATAATAATAAATATAAACAGAAAAACAATAAGTGGGAATGCATAAGCATTCCCACTTGACAAAACTAAAGTAGAATTGAAAATCAAAAGTCAAAACTCAATAAAATTGAAAAATAATCAAAATTTCAAAACTATTTAGAACTCTTTGTCAGTGAATCAGGTTTCCTGGTTCCTATAGTTGCATACGAGCCCCTTATTCCTCCACCTCCATGCTTCTTATTCAGAGTTGATGACGCCTGTTGTGACCAAATATCTGAGCTTTAGTCTCATCCATCTAAAAAACGATGTTCCAGAGCTCAAACCGAGTCAAGCTTCTGTTTTTACTCTTCCAATTTCAATTGCCTGGTCATGAACTCTAATTTTTAACTTAAAGTTAAAAAAAGTTAAAGTTTTTCTTTGTAGAATCTGATTTATTGGATCCATTTATAAATATTCTTCATCTTTGTTGGCCATTTGATATCAGATAGTTTTGAAATGATCTTTCCCCAAATACTGCCCAGCAGATTGTAAATCAAATGCTGGCTGCAGATGGATTTTCTCTTTATGCATCAAACTCCTTTAATTTAAAACAGGGTTAACTGTTTCATTAGAAGAGCAAATATTTGTTTCTTTTTCAATCCCACTGAGGACTTCCCTGTCTCCTTCTGTCCAGGTTATGTCCAGGGGATGAGCGACCTCCTCTCTCCCATCCTGTTTGTCACTCAGAATGAAGTGGAGTCCTTCTGGTGTCTGACTGGCTTCATGGAGCTGGTGGTTAGTTAAGAACTTTCTCTCTACAGTTATGATTGAACTAGTTGATTTTAAATGTTTCCATAGTTGTTTTGCTTTAGTTTCTACCAATTCATTTGCATTTAGGCCATTATTCTGCATCACCTTTTCCCCTTGCTTTTATTTGGTTTTCCCATGCATTAACCCCCTCTTATCTTCCTGCTCTTCTGGGTTTTTGCAGCATCATAACTTTGAGGAGTCCCAGGAGGCCATGAAGGAGCAGCTCCTTCAGCTGAGTATCCTGCTGAAGGCTCTGGACCCAGAGCTGTGCGACTTCCTCGGTAAGTTCAGCTGCTGCTCTTCCAGTCAGACTTGATAGTAAAATTAGCCCCTGCTCAAATGATTGGTGAAAAGTAGGACAGATAAAGAAGTGAGAGAAACATATTTTATGAAATCACTTCCTTATGCACTAAAATGATGCATGATTTTAATGTTTTTGTCTTTTTTTATCCAACGGAAAATTAGACTGAACATTTTCTTTATGGCCCTCAGACTCTCAGGACAGCGGCTCCCTCTGCTTCTGTTTCCGCTGGCTGCTCATCTGGTTCAAAAGAGAATTTTCCTTTGAGGACATACTTACCTTGTGGGAGGTGAGACAAGACAGCCCACCCCTCATAAACATACCAAAGCATAAGGATGCATGCTTTAAAACTACAATCTGAAAAGTGTTGCATCCATGTTTTATTCAGCCCCAATTTACCTTGTTACCCTAAAATAAAAGTCAACTAGCTGCCTGAAAATGTCTACTAGCAGCGTTCCATTCATCAACCACAGTAGAAAGTAGAAAAATGTAGAAAAACCCACAGCTGCAAACCAACAAAGACAAGGGTTTCCAAAGCACGGCCCGGGGGACATTTATGGTCCTCTGAATGATTGTTTTTGGCCACCCTCAACAATAAAGTTGGAAATACATTAGGATGAGACTCATTGACAGATAAAATGTTAGATAAAAAAAAAAAAAAAGTTATTTGTTCAGGCTTTCATTTGGAAAAGTTCCTCTGAAATTTCTCAGAGTGAATCTGTAAATGCAAAATGCTAAATCAAATGTATTGGTTTAAAGGTACATTTTACTAAACATTTTACTCCAGTTAATATTAAACTGATTTAAAAACGGTATTCATACGAAATGGATTAATCGGCTTTGAAATTGTATTTACTTGCATTAAAAGTTCAGTTTGAGAAATTTCCCTTTGATTTCAATTCTAAAATTCAGTTTGTTTTTTTGCCACAAATCTGGGTCCTTGAAAAAAGGCCAGAGTGATCGAACACAGATTCACCTCATGACAAATGACCAGAAACAAAACTCTCAGGTTTGTTTTAAATGAATTCCATGCATAGAAGCATCAGATACAGAAATGTCAACGTGTTACGTTCTATACAGTGTCTTATCCAGTGATGTAGATCTAAGGCTGCTACTTAGCGTGACACTGAGAGCGGATTCGCTACAGGCTCCCTCAGAGTGGAGCTGTTAGGGGAACACTGACGTACGACTTGTTGCACGCCATGTCAATCTAGTGTCTTAATTTAATAGCAAGAAGTAGCATAGCTGTTACAGTTAGCCTATCATTTCTTTATTCAACGCTTCTTATATGCATGATAGATTTAGTGGAAACCTGAGATTTTTGCTCCTGGTCATTTTTCATCTGCCAAGTCCCTGTTTGCTTCACTTCTCCAGGTCTAAATTAGAATAAAATAGAGAATAGAAGGTTGAAGGTTTCGGCCTTTACGTCCAAACTGTTTGGACTTTGCTGCATAAATCCAAAAGCAGCTGTTAGAATCTATGGACCAGACAATTCTCTCTATTTCTTGAAGGGTAGCACGTTGTTGAAAGAAAACAAAAAACAGTTTTGCTCAGTTCAGCAAAATGTTGGAAGAAGGTACTTTTATTAGATTAGAACAGAACTGGACCTTTAGTTAGCCTGAGTTTGCAAACAAATTCAGATTTGTGCACAGTTTCTATCTTCAGGGGTCAAGAGGCTCAGCACAGGTCCAACTTAAGAGTCTCATGGGATGGAAGACGCTAACCTGACAACAGCCAGATGCATGTCTCGCTCCGCCTAGCTCCACTCACATGCATCTGGGAACCTGCTCATTGAAAGTGATTTCCCCAACCGAATTTATGGTCTGTCCAATCAGGACGCAGGGCGGGTGTGTCCTGGAGTGGAGAAGCGACCGTGAGATTCCAACAACAATGGCGGCTAGCATTGAGGAAGCAAGCGTTAGCATTGATGCTGCTATTTCTTCTGTGTTGTCCTATCTATATCTGATATTGTTTCATTAAAAGAACATCAGAGAACGGCTTTGAAGGCTTTTGTTGGTGGAAACGATGTTTTCGCCCTTCTCCCGACCGGATTTGGCAAGAGCTTGATCTACCAAATGGCTCCTCCTCTCACAGCGTCACGGGTTAGCTTCGGTGTGAGTGGTTGAAATAGCACGTCAATAAAGATGACAGACAAGTGGCTTATCCAATCATATGCAAGGAGTTTTGATAAGGCCCTGCCTTCAGTAAAGGCAATTCCTATGGCGGGTTCCCAGATGTATGTGAGTGGAGCTAGGCGGAGCGAGACATGCATCTGGCTGTTGTCAGGTTAGGAAGACGCTGCACACATCTGGAAACCATCAGACATGGATGGTGTCGAATTGGAGGCCACACTATCGTTGTCTGATAATGTGAAACACTACAAACTACAGCGGCACCCTGGACATATCAATGACCAGCGTCACTCTTTAATACTGCATTTGTAGGGGGATATTGAAATAACAACATGTAGATACCCATTAGAGAGCAAAATGACATTAAACAAGTTATAACTGGTTTATTTATGGCAAACTGAAGAAAAAACAAATTAAGCTTTAAAGATTGAAAATGGTGACAAGCCCCTGAGCTTCACAGCCAATGAGAGTCCAGATGAAAACTGTTTCCAATCATTTCTCTTCTCCTCCTCAGGTCCTCTGGTCTCAGCTTCCGTGCAGCAACTTCCACCTGCTGATCGCCTGCTCCATCTTGGAGTCCCAGCGAGGAGAGCTGATCGGCTCGGACCACGACTTTAACACCATCCTCAAGGTCTAACATCATTTTCCTCCTTACTGCCTGCTGCAATACTTACCCCTGCAGATCATCAGCATGTTCACCGTCCTTCTCCTGGTTGGTTTGCAGCATATAAATGAGCTAACAATGAAGCTGGACCTGCAGAGCGTCCTGCGTGATGCGGAGGCCATCTACCTGCAGCTTGTTTGCTGCAAAGTAAGTAACAGCTTCACAGCGCGTGATTTCGTTTTAGTTTTTGTTACAGTTATTGTAGCTAATGCTAACTTGTCCTACAGGTTGAACAAATTAATAAATTGATTTGTTTCATACATATACATACACATATATACACACACATATATATATATGTGTATATATGTATGCGTGTATATATATATATATATATATATATATATATATATATATATATATATATATATATATATATATACATATATGTATGTACAGGTGCTGGTCATAAAATTAGAATATCATGAAAAAGTAGATTGATTTCAGTAATTCCATTTAAAAAGTGAAACTTGTATATTATATTCATACATTACATACAAACTCATATATTTCAGATGTTTATTTTGTTTAATTTTGATGATTACAAATGACAACAAATGAAAATCTCAAATTCATCATATCAGAAAATTAGAATATTACTGAAGACCAATAAAAACAAAGGATTTATAGAAATGTTGGCCAACTGAAAAGTATGAACATGAAAAGTATGAGCATGTACAGCACTCAGTATTTAGTTGGGCCTCCTTTGGCCTGTATTACTGCAGCAATGCGGCGTGGCATGGAGTCGATCAGTCTGTGGCACTGCTCAGGTGTTATGATAGCCCAGGTTGCTCTAATAGTGGCTTTTAGCTCTTCTGAATTGTTGGGTCTGGTGTATTGCATCTTCTTCTTCACAATACCCCATAGATTTTCTATGGGGTTAAGGTCAGGGGAGTTTGCTGGCCAATTAAGAACAGGGATACCATGGTCCTTCAACCAGGTACTGGTAGCTTTGGCACTGTGTGCAGGTGCCAAGTCCTGTTGGAAAATGAAATCTGCATCTCCAAAAAGTTGGTCAGCTGCAGGAAGCATGAAGTGCTCTAAAACTTCCTGGTATGTGGCTGCGTTGACCCTGGACCTCAGAAAACACAATGGACCAACACCAGCAGATGACATGGTACCCCAAACCATCACTGACTGTGGAAACTTTACACTGGACTTCAAGCAACGTGGATGAAGTGCCTCTCTTCTTTTCCTCCAGACTCTGGGACCTTGATTTCCAAAGGAAATGCAAAATTTACTTTCATCAGAGAACATGACTTTGGACCACTCACCAGCAGTCCAGTCCTGTTTCTCTTTAGCCCAGGCAAGACGCTTCTGACGCTGTCTGTGGTTCAAGAGTGGCTTGACACAAGGAATGCGACAGCAGAAACCCATGTCTTTCATACGTCTGTGTGTGGTGGTTCTTGAAGCACTCACTCCAGCTGCAGTCCACTCTTTGTGAATCTCCCCCACATTTTTGAATGGGTTTTGTTTCACAATCCTCTCCAGGGTGCGGTTATCTCTCTTGCTTGTACACTTTTTTCGACCACATCTTTTCCTTCCCTTCGCCTCTCTATTAATGTGCTTGGACACTGAGCTCTGTGAACAGCCAGCCTCTTTAGCGATGACCTTTTGTGTCTTGCCCTCCTTGTGCAAGGTGTCGATGGTCGTCTTTTGGACAACTGTCAAGTCAGCAGTCTTCCCCATGATTGTGTAGCCTATAGAACTAGACTGAAAGACCATTTAAAGGCTTTTGCAGGTGGTTTGAGTTAATTAGCTGATTAGAGTGTGGCACCAGGGGCCATCAATTTTGAACCTTTTCACAATATTCTAATTTTCTGATATGATGAATTTGAGATTTTCATTTGTTGTCATTTGTAATCATCAAAATTAAACAAAATAAACATCTGAAATATATGAGTTTGTATGTAATGTATGAATATAATATACAAGTTTCACTTTTTAAATGGAATTACTGAAATCAATCTACTTTTTCATGATATTCTAATTTTATGACCAGCACCTGTATATATACTGTATATGTATATGCAAAAATACCTACATGCATGTAGAAAAATATTGAGCAATTTTTTTTATTTCATTTGGTGCAAAAATTGGTCGAAGTAGGTCATAAAAAAAGCAAATATAGAAAATCGGGTGTGTTATTGTTTTTTCATTTTTTTTCATAGAAGAAAACTGTCCGAATTTACATTGCAGACTGAACTTTTGCCTGTTTTCCAGGGATAAAGAATGATAAATGTTTTAGTGGATCCTGTTCTTTGTGTAGAGAAAATGTAGATAATGATGTTTTAATTTGTTAGACTTCTTTAAACCTTTTCAACAGATGTGAAGGAAATGCAGTGGGCCCTTTCCAGAAAACATCATCCACATTCTGCATTTTCTTTTAAAATCAGCTTAGCTTTCTTTCTTTAGCTGTCACTAACCATCCGCTCCTCTTCTATCCACCTTCAGGACCTTCCCCGCAAAGTGAAGCAGGTGTTGGGTCTCTGTGAGCCGTCCAGTTCAGAGGAGGCGACCCCAGACTCTCAGAGTAGCGAGACAGAACACCTCCTCTGTCAGGCGGAGGGAGGAGCTGCATCATCACATGTTCCCACCTACCCTTAAAACTCAGTTTAGCTGCTCAAATTACTGTACGTTGATAAAAATAATGACTGTTGTTTCACATTTAAGGAGGTAGGGGGCGCTGTTAAACCATTATACCCAATTATGCAGTGCTTTGTTCAGTATTCTTTTTTGCCTCATGTCTCTGTTGTTCTGACTTTTTTCCATCTGATGCTGCTTATTTACTCCTTATTATACTGTTTATTTCCTTTTAATGAAGAATTATGTTTTATTTTCCCTCCATTGTATCTGAAAAGATTAGAAGAACTCAATAAACCGTGTCGGCGCTATGTGTCGCCTTTTGACACTATGCAAAGTTTTATGCATGCCGTATAGTTTTCACTCTCTGCATAGTTTTATTTTTAAAACTTATTGTAACAAGTAATTATTGAATAATAAAATGAATGCATAATAACTCTGTTTTATCTTTATGTGTGATATTTGGAAAGTAGTGAACTGCAGCTGATGTTCAACTCATTTTTACAAACATAAGGATTTATTTGAGCCATTTATCTTTAATGATGGCATATATGACATATATAACACATAACTACTGTGAAAAAATACCCTCTGCAATTAGTTTCACATGTTTTAGATCAAAACACATACAAAAATCTATTTGATTATTTCCTTCTTGGAGGAAACCATCACAAAAATCCATCCACACCAGTCAGACTCCACGTGAAAATATAATGTCCCTTCTGTAACTTATGACTTGGCTTGCCACACCCAGACCTTTGTAATTTAGATATCGCCTTAAAAGAACATGTCTGACAACATGAAGTAGGCTAAACGATCTCAAAGCAAAACACTATATTCTAATCCTATGAAATTCAAGAAAAATACAACTTAAAACAAGTAAAATTACTTGAAACCCATGTGTTTGTGTTTCATTTAAGTAGCTAAATACAATGATCTGCCAGTAAAATGTGTATTTTGGCTCCTAGAGTAGAACAGTTTTACAGTTGGGCTTGAAAGTTTAGATACCCCACCATTAAAGAAAATGATAAATTCACACTTGTTATTCAAATAACACAAAACTAAAAGAAAAAAAATAATAAATAAATGTATATATATTTACATATATATACGTATATATATATATATATATATATATATATATATATATATATATATATATATGTATATATATATATATATATATGTATATATACGTATATTTGTATATACATATGTATATATGTATATATATGTGTATATATATATATATATATATATATATATATATATATATATATATATATATATATATATATATATATATATATATATATTTAGACATTTGAATTTCAAATTGTTGCGAATTTTCTCTTTTCACACAGGGTCCAAATTATATATTATAAGTATTTCCAGTCATCCTAATATTTGAGTATTTATGTTAGTTCCTGGTTGGCTTTTAATTTAAATAAGTCAAAGCCTGTTAACCTTTGGATTGTGATCATGATGAATATGAACACCTAGTTTATCTCAGCAGCACGAAAAGATCAGTCCAGTACTCAATGATTTGATCAGCACCCAGAACAACAGGAGTCTGATTGAGATTCAAGAGGTGCACTTCTTCATATTTGGACAGTCTTTCCATGTGGAGGTTCTCCATATTTTCCAGTCATTTCTAAACAAAAACAAAAAAGGCATTAGATTAGGTATAATCTATGCAGTCCCTGACATGTTAGGATGTTCAGGAGGAATCTGAGAATCACCTATATCTGAAATTTGTAGCACCACTGTTACTTTCTTCTATGAACATCAGACATTGAAACTGACATCAGAATGGACAGAGAGGTTGCCCGAAAATGGCAAGTCCAGGTTTTCTAAAATGAACAACTTCTAATGTGTTAAAGCCAAAGTCTTTATCATTTTTGTGTCAGGTGACACAAAGACTGAGCTATTTGACCAAAATGATGTGTCACAGAGGCTTTCCAAATATATTATACAAGGTTTCAAGCATGGTGGTTGCAGCAGCATGATGTGGGGTTATGTGGGACTTTGTTTCAAAAACTAATCATTCCCAGGAAACCAGAGGTGGGAAATGTGGAGCCATCAAGTAATCTCTACGTCATATATTTGTTCTGCCCAGCCACTGAACCAGGTTTAGTCCAACCTGCACGGTAAATTAATTTCTGCAGTGGGCAAGTGTTTGCAGCTGACCGTTTGGGAAACACATTCTGGTGAGAAAGCCTTATCTGTTTTTTATAACTCCCAATCAGAAGTCCTAACAGACTGTTTCTCAACTGACCTACTGGAGATGATGTGGAGAGATTATTGCTGATCATGCGCAGATTTTTGTTCTTCCCATCCTATTTAATTTTTCTATAAAGAAGTGACAAAAATAATCTGAAAGATTTTATGCTTGACTATAAATGTATCATTCATAACTCTATCTTGGGAATATGGCAGATAGGTTGAGTAAAGCTGAGTATCTATTTGTGGGTCTAGTTGGCTGCAAGTAAAAAAGCAATGACAAAACTACAGATTACTATGACAGAACTACAGATGAAAATATTGTTAAACATTTACATGTACTAGAGCAAACTATATTCTCAGTCACACTCCAAATGATTTAGGTCAAAACAGTGGCAGAAATAGCCAGCCTATTTGGTCAAGGAATGGGACTATATATGCAGATTGGGTATTATATTTTATCTTTGGGATTAATTGATCACCCAGCCCCTGAATGTGGGTAAATGTTTTGTATTATTTCTTTGTTGTACCATTCCTCAATGTACGTTTTAACTGGGTGAATTGGAGAATATGCTCAATAAATTAAACTCTGTAAACCCAGTTATACTTGCTTTTCAAAACATAACATATAGTTGTTAAGTTGCTTTTTTAACTTGTGAACTGGTAAAACTCTCATCTCTCATCCACCCCCTCCTCCTCGTCCAGGAAACCAGCAGGTGTTTTTATGAGTTTAAAGGCTGTAGAGAAATAGAACCTCTGTTCTCCACCGTCCCGGGAAATGAGCTGGAAAATGAGGGGCGGGCCGCCACACCTCCTTCTCAGGACCCGCTGCACTCCTCCTTTGGCTCGTCTCTGTGTCCCACCCTTTCCATCCATGCTGTTTGAATACAGCTGCAGCATATGAATTTAGCAGGCTGCTTAAACAAGCCGCCGGTCTGTCGCTCCTTCTGGACCACCCCAGCCTGACCTCACTAGACTGACAGAGCCAAACTCACTCAGCCCCTCATTCAAACTCAATCTGCTTTCAGCTCCTGGTCAAAGGCCTTGTCAACAAGTTTAAATCCAAGAATATTCTCTCCCTAATTCTACAACTGACTAAATGCTGGAGGATTATCGTCTCTTCATGGTGTCATTATGCTCTTATCTGTGTTCATTGGATCTGCTCTCTGTGCTGTCATGTTCAGCTGAAAACTAAAAGAAATCTTAACATGGTTCATTAATTATCAGAGTTTCTTTTAAATCATAAACATAACCCACCCCCCCCCCCCAGCTCAAAATTTTCTCAAGTTTGAATTTCAAAATAAGATACATTTCACACATTTTGTGACATTTTAAGTGAATCCTTCAATCTAAAGTTTGAATTATCACAGTATGGTAATTATGTCATTTCAGCTTTTTTTAAATCAGTTCTTTAAACTGTGAACATTTATTCTACATGGCACACAATCCATCCATCCATCCATCCATCCATCCATCCATCCATCCATCCATCCATCCATCCATCCATCCATCCATCCATCCATCCATCCATCCATCCATCCATCCATCCATCCATCCATCCATCCATCAGCATTGCAGTGGGGCCACACAGAGACACACAACCATTTACACACACACTCACACCTCTGATCAATTTAGAGAATCCAATTAGCAATTATTAACAGTTATGCTTTTGGACTGTGGGAGGAAGCCGGAGTACCCGGAGAAAACCCTTGCATGTCACAGTTCCGGTTCTGCTTAAGTTGTCTTTTAAGTTTTTTGTTTCACGTTGATCCATGTTTTTCTTAGTTTTCTAGTTTTATTGATTCAATTTTCTATTTTGTGGTGTTTCTGGATGTATTTGAGTTCTTTGGTATTTCCCGTTTGCCCTCTGTTGCCCTCTTATGTTGGTCTCCTTTCCCCTAGCTCCTTTCTAGAATCATCTGTTCACACCTGCTCCCAATCAGCTCATTAGTCCTGTCTTTGTTCTGTCTGCTATATATACTCTCCCTGCGCAGTTCCTCAGGGCTGGTTCCTTGTCTTTTCCTGGCTCCCCATGTGATTTCCCCCCGAAGTTTTATGGTTTTTGGATTTCTGCCTCAGTTATTTTATTAAATCTTCCAGAACTCACCTCTGCCTCAACACCTCTGCATTTGGGTCCTCAGAACCTCAACTCAACTGTGACAAAGCATGCACAAGAAGAACATGCAAACATGCAGAAAGACCCCGGGCCGGGAATTGAAGCCTTTCCTTGCAACAGTGCTACAGACTGTGCCATCCTGCAGTCTTGGCACAGAAATATTTTGACAAAAGTAATTTTGTCATATTAAGAATTTAACTTAACTGAATATTTTTTTGTCTTGTGTTGTTTCTTTTGGTAATCATGATTAACAAGGAAACATATATACATTTTTGATCTAAATAAAAATTATGATTTTTTTGAAGACCAACTTTAATTGGTCTCCACTGGCTCACTGTTATCTTAGGCTATAAATTACTCATATCTCTAGCCGCTCTTTAACAAGGAAATCCAAGAGAATAAACCAATTAAAACAATAATTACTGTTGGTTTGTAAAAGTTAGGTAACTATTACAAGCTACAACTGTTTAGATATGGTTAAGATAAATTATCCTAATGCGGAGGTCTTCAACAGGGGGTCCGCGACCCCTAGGGGGTCCACAGAGGTTCTGCATGGGGGTCACGAAAGTTTTGGTTGATTAGATTTTTTTTTTTTTTATATTCCCCCCTGCAAAATTTTCCACTAATTGAAATGTTTTTAAATACACATTAACATGAACTCAACACATTGTAGTAAACAGATAAATGGAGGCAGAAGATGTCTTTCAGTCATCAATGCTCACATTCAGCGACACACAGGAGCTCTTTGAAGCTGGGCACCGTTTCATTCACAACACCTGTCCCATCAACCAGGAATCAGAAATACTTTAATAATCCAAGGGTGAAATTACTTTTGTTACATTACTCCATCTGTAATAGAGGGACTATAGGACCGGTTTGATATAACACAATGTCATACAATACATATAATTAGGGGGTCCCTGCTCCATCTCGTCATCAATTTGGGGGTCCTTAGCCTGGACAACGTTGAAGACCCCTGTCTTAATGTTTAAAGGATAGATGACCTCAGATTTGCTTGTGCTGGAGGAAACTGGTTGGAATGGAAAGACACTGACACAGTTATGCTTTCTAGGATTGTATTTAATAATTAAAAC